GGTGTATAACAGTGGAAGTGTGACCATGTGAGAGAAGTGGTAAGTTTTGGTGTATAACAGTGGAAGTGTGACCATGTGAGAGAAGTGGTAAGTTTTGGTGTATACCAGTGGAAGTTTAATAATAAGAAAAAGTAATAAAATTTTGTGTACAAGAGAAAAAGTGTAAAAATGTGTAGAGAGGTTGTAAAACTTGGTGTAATTAAAAAAGAAAGCTTTTTTTCCACTAGTTCAATGAAAACATACAATCACAAATATAAGTCTAGTCACGCGACTCAAAAGGATTGCCTTAGCATGGCCTGGGAAGTCAATCATGCGACTCACAAGGATTGCCTTAGCATGGCCTGGGAAGTCCATCATGCGACTCACAAGGATTGCCTTAGCATGGCCTGGGAAGTCCATTGTTAATCATTCTCATCCTTTAAGCTTGGAGGCATTATAAGATGACAACTAATACCACACAATTTATAAATTGGTTTTCAAAATTGTTTCCAGGTGTCTGTTTGGAAGTTGTTTTTCTGTCAAGCTTTTATCTAGTGAAGGACATAGCAGACTAAAGGCATACAGTGGCTATATTGTATAATTTTATTGCTTCATTACTTTCAAATTCAGAAGTTATGTAAAAGATCATTGTATGCACAAAGAGATTGTTATGAAAGTGATAAAGTAGGGATACAGTTTAATATTATTGTTTCTGATGGTTGTGATGAAAGTTTATTGTTGTAACCATTATGAATGGTAATATTATTAACAAACAACCCTGAACGGTAATATTATTAACAAACAACCCTGAACAGTAATATTATTAACAAACAACCCTGAAAGGTAATATTATTAACAAACAACCCTGAACGGTAATATTATTAACAAACAACCCTGAACGGTAATATTATTAACAAACAAACCTGAACGGTAATATTATTAACAAACAAACCAGAACGGTAATATTATTAACAAACAAACCAGAACGGTAATATTATTAACAAACAACCCTGAACGGTAATATTATTAACAAACAACCCTGAATGGTAATATTATTAACAAACAAACCTGAACGGTAATATTATTAACAAACAAACCTGAACCATAATATTATTAACAAACAAACCTGAACGGTAATATTATTAACAAACAACCCTGAATGGTAATATTATTAACAAACAACCCTGAATGGTAATATTATTAACAAACAAACCTGAATGGTAATATTATTAACAAACAAACCTGAACGGTAATATTATTAACAAACAAACATGAACAGTAATATTATTAACAAACAACCCTGAATTAACAAACAATCTTCAGACAGTTCTGGTGTTCCACACCAGTCTAAACCAAGAAACCTTGTAATCTAATGTACTTAATAGTATCAAAGATAAACCTAAATAGTTAAACCTTAACGTTAAATTGTGTAGCATTATTCCTGAAGGTAGATGTCACTCTGAATATCTAGTATTGGGAGTGGTGTTTAGTAAAGGTAGAAGGTTCTATAACATAGGTAATCAGAAATTGTAAAATAATCTAGAATTGTTCAGCAATCAATCACTTGTTAATATTTTTATACATTGTCTTGTTGAAATATCTGGTATTTGTTAGTACACATTCAGGAAAGAAGAAGAATTATTCGTGAAAATCATTTGTTTTAGTTTAAAAGATTGAGACTGTGCATACATTCTGAAACAACAATTCTTGCCTCCTAAATTACACAAGAGTAAATCACTATTGGATATGTATAG